AACCAGTCCTACCCCCCACTCCCAGGTTGGCAATGGCAGGCAGCAAGGCAGATGGAACACAGCCCAGAGGGAGCCCCAGCCTCCCACCAGCGCCTCAGGTTCCCCTCCCCACCCCTATGCTGCAGACAGTGACACCCCACCCACCCGGCCAGGGGACCCTCAGGAGGACGTGTTACCCATCGGTGCCTTCCGCGGGGCCAGAGCCAAACCCCGGGGTGGGGAGCGGGACCCAGGCGGCGGCCCCACCTCCAGGCCGTGGTCGCGCGAGTGAACCGCGCTAATCTCCACGGCGTGCAGCTGCTCCAGCGTCAGCTGCCGCGCGTACAGGTGCGCCACGACGCGGTGCGGGCCCTCGGTCAGGTGCGAGCTCAGGTAGTCGGCCTCGGTGAGGCGCAGAGAGCCCAGGCCCAGGCCCAGCACCCGGTTCAGTCCGTCCTCCAACGACCAGAAGCGCCGGTCCACGAAGCCCCCGGGGAAGCCCAGCAGCCCATCAAAGCGCATCTGCATCTACAAGGGAGCGCCGGGTCACGGGCGCAGGTCCGAGCGGCATCCCGGCCCCCGTCCGCCCGCCCGCGTCCTCACCAGCACGGAGAAGCGCATGGGGATACGGCCGAAAAGCTGCCCGGGGTTGGCGGCGTAGAGCATGGCGTGGCACGAGTGGCTCCAGCCCGGCCCCAGGCGCATCGCTTCCACCCGGCTGATCTGCTTCAGCTCCGGCACAGCAGCCGACATCTTGGCACCGCTCCACCCCCGCGCCGCCGGTACCTCCCCTTAAGTGCGTGCTCTGGCCCGCCCCCGCCGCATCTGACCAATCCACGGCAGACGCGCTGCCTCCACCAATCGCTGACACGCATCGTGACGGAGCCCACCGATGCGTCGTTGAGAGGCGCAAGGGGCGTGTGCAAAGGGAGGAACGGCGTGCCCCCGAGAGCCGCGAACCTGCGCTGGCCCAGCGGGTGGAACTCGGAAACCGCAGCGCCCAGGATGCCACGCGCCAGGCGCGCTCCCCAGAACTGAGCCCGACCTCACCCGCTAGGGACTTCGGGCTTCCCACCGGCTGCGTGCGGAGCCGGACGGTGAGAGGCGCGGGGCCCAGAGTGCTCGCGTGAAGGAGCAGCAGGATCCCAAAGATCACGTCACCATTGGCGGGGCTGAGTTGCGTTCCTCCCCAGCCCTCTTTGGGCACGTGGGAGCCTCCTACCTCCCAGCAGGGCTCAGCTGAGCCCTGCAACCAGCGGGCACAACCCACACCTCCAAGCACACCAGCCCCACAGCCCTGGGCGCCTGCAACCTGCTAAGCACTCCACTCCAAGATCACTGCTGCTCTGCCTGACTCCGTAAGGGCACAGAAGGGCCCGGTGGAGTTCCAACTGTCCCACAGCGCGAGTCCACGCTCAGCCCTGGACTTGCGGTGGGTGGCGAAAAGCCCCAGCGCTCCCTACACCCAGTTGGCTAGGGCTGTAAGTTTGCGAGCCCAACGCCCCAAATACCCTCCAAGCCAGGCACCGTATGCCAGGTACTGTTGGAGGAAATGGGGTCTCCCCAGTTTCCCAAAGAGTACCCTGGGCTCATAGGGGCAGGACTTGCCCAGGATCCTACCGTAGATTTCCACCCTCTTACCCAGTGTCCACGACAGAAAACCTCCTCTACCTTCCACCTCAGGTACTCACCTCATTTTCTGCAGAAAGAATTAGAGAAATCGCTGGGGTTCCCCTGAGTCCAGCCACTCACTCCACCAGCTGTCCCAAGCTCCATTTGCCTTCCCACGGTGGGCATGGATTTGTTGAGTGAAGAAACTTTGGATGGGTGCCACGGGTACAGCCTTGGGAGAGCCATGCACTGAGGTGAAGGTGTGTGGCATGGGGAGGGCTGCCCTGAGTGGGGCTGAGTAGGAGAGGAGAAAGGCAGAGGGCAGGCAAGAGTTGGTGGGGTCCACCAGAAACTCACCTTAGGTCCATGGTCTGTTGTGTCAGGAGATGTGGGAGATAAGTACCCAGAGGGAAGCTCTCTCCCCCGCTGTGGCCCTCTGCCAGTCAGGGCTCAGAAGAGTAGCTGCAGCTGACAGGAGGGCAAGTAACTGTGTCTGAATGCGAGAGGTCAGGGGAAGGGCCCATCCAGAGAGGGCCCTGTCTCCAGGCTGCGGGGCATGACCTGAGCCCAGGGCCAGTGTGCAGCAGGGGGCAGAGGAATGGTGCCCTGTGCCCAATCCCTCCCTGATACCAGACATTGATGAACAAGGTTGGTCAGTTTAGGGGAAGTAAGGAGGGAGATCCAGTGTAGCCCATGCAAGAACTCATCTGACACTGAGCACCTTCCTACCCACACTGGGACCATGTTAAACCCAGGCACAACCAAGGGTGGCAGTCCTTCCTTGGGGCAGGACTGGCCAGCCAAGAACACCGGTTCTACTCTCCAGTGCCTGAGTTAAAGAAGGGAACCGTGGCCCTGGCTGGCGTGGCTCAGTTAGTTGGAGCTCCGTCCCATAAACTGAAAGGTCATGGGTTTGATTTCCAATCAGGGCACATACCTGGGTTGCAGGTTCGATCCACAGTCAGGGGGCATGTGTTTCTCACATAAATCTCTCCCCCCACCCCCTCTCTAAAGTCAATAAATATATCTTCGAGCGAAGATTAACAAAAAACAAGGGGCCCATGGAGGCAATCTGGAACTGTCTGCAAAGGAGCTGGGGTGGGGGGTGCAAACAGTGCTGCCTGGGCACTCCGGGGTACAAGCTTTTCCCTACTGGGAAACTACTACTGGGCAGGGGAACTCGAGCCAAGCAGAGGGCTCCCAGCTGGGCTCCAGCACCTTAGCAGCCAAACCTATGCCTCTAATCCATTCTCCACATGGTATCTGGAGTCACTGCCTTGCTTAAAAACCTGTTCTTAGACGAGAACTCTGACCGTCCCTACAAGCTCTTGCAGTATCTGCAACCACATCTCTCAATTCCGACACTCCAGGCACTCACGCTTCTCACTCAGTGGACACCCTACACTCACTCCCGCCTCCGGGCCTCTGCACTTGCTGTGCCAGCTACCCGGGGTGCTCTTCCAGACTAGGGTTAAATTAAGTCCTCCATGTGACCCCATCTTGTCACCTGCTTGCTTTTCCTAATGGCATCCAAATCTGGGAAGATGTGGATTTACTTGTGCAGTCTCACTGGCTAGAACACAAGGTCCCAGGGGCCTAGACCTTGCTGGTCTTGCCTTCTGCTGGCACACAGTATGTGCTCGGGAAACATCTGTGGGATGGTACAGCGACACAGATGGGGACTGCAGCAACCTCTCACAAACCTGGAGGCCCTGGGCTCCTTCTTCACCTGCTCAAAGACTGAGCCAAATTCCCAGGGACCATTTGATCAGCACAGTGGCCACAACAGTAACCAGCAGCATCATACATGGCACCTCATGTAGCCCTCACTTCCTCCTGGAGTTGGACCTCACTGATGTCTTACACATGATGAAACATGCTGCGGCCACAAGCTGGTGCTTGCACTGCTATGAGGGTGTCAAAGCCACCACTAGCCACTAAGCAGTCCTGCCTCCTGACCAAGAAACGGCCAAGGTCCTGCAGTGCTCTGCGTGGAAAAAGGAGTGGACAGGATATTGCTGCATGATTTTATTACTATAAATATACAGTAAAAACAAACAAAAACTAGCCAATCAGAATACATCAAATGATAGCACGTGTAAGTCCAAGACAGGGCAGTCTGCATCCTGTCCTTCAGAGTACTGGCACCAATACCAATGGTGAGAGGCCAGGGTGGTGGCAGGTGATGAGGGTGAGGAGATGGCCAGCCTGTGTGTGTGCACGTGTGCACATATAAGCACACTAGTGGGTGGGAGGGGAGGGGAGACAGAGTCAAGCGGCCGGGGAAGGTGGCCTGAGCATGGCCGAGAGCTGTGCATAAGACAGCGCTCTCTGCTCACAGGCTGAACTGGAGAGATGAGGACCCCACTGGACAAAACTCCCAGCTGTGCAGATGCTTTGTGGACAGCAGCCCAGAACCATCATCCTTCCCAGGGCACCTCCACAGAAAGCGAGCTCTTCTGCACCACCCAATCCCAGGCCCAAAAGTGTTGGCCCCATGGGGAGCTACACAGACCAACCCACCAGGCCAAGGTCCCTGCTGGGGCAGCTTGTGCCCTGCTGCACCAGGGCTGGGTACTTCTTTCTGCCTTTCTGTTGCCCAGCTGGTTTATCTTAAGAAAAAGATGAGGCCATCTCAGGTGGGACCCTCCGCCCCCAGGCAGGTCCCACCACAGAAGTCTCAGACAGAACAAATCAAAGAGAAACACAAAGTGATATTTAAATGGCACAGAGGGAGCAGAGTTGTTCAGGTCCCTCCTGGGGCAGGTGGACTAGTGGAGAAGAAGGTCCTCCATTTGGAGGGGGTCTGAGGATGTGTGCAAAGCCACCTCTGAGAAGGTGCAGGACTTGGAGAGGAGCCACTAGACCAACTGCTGCCAACAGGCTGTGCACCTGCACCTCTGCCCTAGGGAGATCCAGACCCAAACCCAGACCTCGGCCTCGAGCGCAGGAACCTGGGCTGCCCAAAGGCAAGGCCATAGGGAAAGGCTGTGAGTTAGGGGAGACAGCCCTGCACCAAAGGGCCTGAAAGGGAAGGGGAAGCAACAGAGGGCACAAAGCAGCAGTGCCAGCCGGGCCACGCACATAGGGATAGGGGACAGGCACTGTTTCCTTCATTGACCGTGACTCAGACCCCATTTCCTTTCCTTCTCTGACAACATATCCCCCAGTAATACCTCCTGTGAAGACAGCACTTCACCCACCGATAAATTCTCTCCTGCAGGTTTGCTGAGTTCTCAGGGTGTCAACCCCCCACTGGTTGGGAGGCTGGATAAAGCCAACCTGGGACATGTGGGCAGCCAGCCTCCAGCCTCTAGCCCCAGCTACCCAGCCAACAAGGCATTTGGGGAAACCCCAGAGCTCAGTGCCTGAGACAGAAAGGGGCTATCCTTCATCTTGTACCATTTACAAATACAGAGACTGCAAATAAAACCGTTTGCCAGAGGAGACAGTCCACTGTGCTCTTCAATCAAGGGTCGCAGGGCCCCTTGGAGCCGTGGCTATGAAGGGTATGCAGACAGGAGGCCAGGGGTCTCAATGGAGTCCAGGCAGCCCCTTGGCAACGTCTGGGGAGCTGAGGGCTCCATGCTGCCAGCCTGGCCAGGCTCTCAGAGTGGAGTCAGGTTGGTGGCCTCCATGTTAGGACTGAGGCCACCAAGCAGAGGCCGGGTGGGGCCAGTGGCGAGGAGGCTTCGGGGTGTCTCCATGGAGGTGGGCCATCCTGCAGGTGGGAGCAGAGGGAGGAGGGTCAGGCTCAACCGAGTCATCCCACCTCACCTGCTCCCTCCACCCTCCAGGCTCTGGGTTCCCATCAACTTCGAAACCTGGAGGGCAGGGCCACCCAGCACCCTCCAATGCGCATGCATGCCTGTGGTGGACCACACAGAGGGCCAGGGAACTCTAGCCCCAGGTGAGTGAGCAGGGTGCCAACAGCAGATGCAGCCCTGGAACAGAACAGGGCGCCTTGCCTTGGGCTGTTGACCACCCTGATCTCCTGCCCTAGCCAGGTCTATGTTCCTGGAAACTGATCAGTGACTGTCAGCAGAGCTTCCTGACTAAATTAGCCTGGGATTTGGTCAGACCCAGGCAAAAGTGGGTGGACTCGGACCTGGGTGTACAGCCAGTGCTCAGAGCAGACCCAGGAGCCTAGCCTGCCCTCCCATAGGCCTGTTGTTACCACAGTTGCCTCCCCAATACCGTGAGACACACTGTCCCTGAACAGAGTCTGCCCCCACCCCAGGCGCTGGTGTGGGGAGCCCTGACCGGGGTTGCAGCAGCAGAGGGACCAGCACACTTCTTAGAGCTGCAGAAAGCATGGCCGCCCACCTGTCGACCTGAACGTGGGCTCCAAAGGCATCTTCACATAGTAAACCAAGCAGTGCGTCTGCCACCAGTCGCCTGCAACGCAGACCCTCAGGGAAGGGGACTATTTTCTTAGGAGCTGTGGCTATATGCAGGACGTCAGCTCTGCCATGCAGCCCACAACTGAAATATCTCTCTGTAGCTCTGACCTGCATTTCCTACATCTGGAAGTTTTAGCTAAATTGCAACACTCAACATCTTGTATGGTGTAGGTAGGGAACCGACTTTATAAAAGTGCCAGACCCTGTTTCAATTGAGGGTAAGATCTGTCAGAAGAAAAGTGAGAGGATGACGAGAGGTTTGTGCGGAAACCTAAAAGCAGCCATCAAAACAAGTGCACAGACACCACAGCCTGGGCTCAGGACAGCTGACAGGGAGGAAGGCCGGACACCAGCCTGGAGTGTCTGCCAGCTGGGGCTGCTGGGGCTCTGCCACCAGGACAGACCGGGGTCCTGCTGGAGTGTTCCATCTGGGAAACCCTAGGCCACCAAAGGCACCAAGGTCTCTTATCACCAGACTTCCCAGAGCCACTAATGTCACATGAAAGAAGGGGAAGGGGAAGAGGGTCCCCAACACATATGGCCTATTTCTTGGTGTTACTCTGAACTGCCTTCTGTAAAACATCTGTTTGGGTCACCCAGGTAGAGGGCACCTCCCTGTCAGATGGGAAGTCAACCTCATGTGACTTCCTCATAGACTGGTAACAGAATGGGCTGGTGTCCCAGAAGGTTCCAGAGGTGGGCAGGGGAACAGTTTAGTAGCAGCAGCCATAATGCGGTCTTAGCTAGGGTTCCTGGAACCCTAAAGGCTGGAAGAGCCTGACTGAGCCACCTGGTCTCGATGGAAGAGTATCTGGCCCCAAAGCCAGCAGCAAACCCCCAGGGCACCTCTTGGGGCAAAGGTACAGCGGCACTGGGGGAGCTCTGGATTTAGAACCCAGGACCCCAAGGAAGGCATGGACGTGGAAGAAGCTGGAAAATAGGAAGAAACCCTCTGCAGGAAGCAGGAGAGGGAGAGGAAGCTGGGGGTTCTCTCTCCAGCCCCCTGACAAGGATGCCCCTCAGAGCCACCCCGCCATGAGTACGAGGGCGATCACGTACCAGCTTACTCCTCTATACCAACGGAACAGGAGTCGGGCGCCCGGGCTGTGCAGAGAGATGGAAACTTGGTTAGCAAGGGCTCAGACAGACCAGCACACTCCACAGCACATGCCCTGGCGTTAGAACAAGTGGCCCCGAGGGGTGGGGGCTGGAAATGAAAAGCCCACATAAACCGATGTGCTGGAACAAAAGACGGACATAGGCTGAAAATACATTTCCTGAGAAACACAGCACTGGGCCAAATTCTAATGCAGAAGAACTAAGCCAGTGGAAGGACTGGGGGCCGGGCAGAGCTGAACCCAGCTAGAGGTGGAGCCCAGGAAGGGCCCCCACCCACAAGGCTGCCAGAACACGGGCATGTAGGTTTTCACCTTTTGTGGATTTCCCCCCATCATTTTTTTCCCATAAACAGGCACACTAAGGTTCACTAAATTATACTTCATCCCTCAGGAACGGCTGTGCAGTTGTTAGAAAGGAAGATGCCCGAATGCATGTTCACATTCCTAAATACACAAATGTGAAAGATGCTCAGAATCTCCCCTGAAAAAAGCCAGTAGCATAACATAGGGGCCAGCATGTGATCAGAAAACATGGAAACGTGCTCACACAGTCGTCCACCTCTGTAAGGACCCCTGCCCACCCCCCAAATGCAATCAGAGGTACCTGTGGGGGAGGAGGTGCAGGACGCTAATGCCACCCACTTCCTCTCTGCTCTGAGAGGCACCGAGAACCCACCGAATGGGCAGGGTACGGAGCCAGAGCAGAGCCGGCCTCAGTCCTGGTGTCCACCCTGCTGTCCAGTCAGGCCTCAAATGCAGACTCTGTCTCACCTCTACCGCCAACTGCTTCCTGCCCCACATGTGAGCTAGAGGCCCAGGGGCTCAACAGCCAGAGGTCCTGGTCTCGCCTGTGGGCTTGAGCCCAGCAGCTGTGGCCTGTCCCAACCCTGCAGACCCCTGAGCACTCTGGGCCACTCAAGGAGTGAAAGGAGAGGGGCGGCGCTGCAGAGGCTGTGTGGACAATGTGCTCTTTATGGCCCCTGGGGCAAGGGCTCGTCTGCCCTTTGGGATCAGGACTCACACTTGTGGCTCCAGAAAGCCCAGTCCGTCTCCCGGCCCAACTCCCCCAAAACTTGAATCATAATGAAATACTGAAGTGCTCTGAAAGAACTTACTGGAATTCTGTGTTACTCCAAGGTATGCTTTTGCCTGTGGCTGTCCCTATGGGCAGGTCCATATGTGCCACCAAGCCAACAGCTGTGCTGCTTCCTCATACCTGTGACTGACCCTCTGTCTGCACAGGCCGCTGCTCATCCAGAAGCCAGGGTGAAGGCAAGAGACCCTTCCAAACCAAAGCACGTCACAGCCCCCAATGCCCAGGCCAGGTCACCAGGAACCAGGCAATGATGGCTCCAGGGGCAGGCTGGGGGGGAGGGAGGCAGGCAGGGGGCACAGGGGCTCCCCAGCCATGTGGCTGGAGTCAGGCTCTCTGGGGCAATGTAGTTATTTATCTTGATTCCAGAATCTCGGACGGCATCCTAGCAGGTGCCAACATGAGCATCTGGGAGCTCCCCAGTCTCCCATCTTTGGAGCCCAGGACTGAGGATTTTGGCCAAGAGGAACAGAGAGCAGAGCAGCTGAGGCCAAAGGACCCTAGGTGGAGGCACCCAGCCTGGCCTCCTGCCCCCTGGCATGGGATGCATTGCTTCACCAGTGACCTCGGGCAGGTGGTGGAGAGCTGGTGGCCTGTGTCAGGCCTAAGGCAGGCAGGTGGCTTTGTTAGTAGCTCCCTGGGGCAGAGGCCCAAGCGTGCCAGAGTCATGGATGAAGGAAGATACAGCAATGACAGGCGACATACAGGGAAGTGGACCATGTCCTTAAACATGCAGTCTTTCCTGCCTTCCCGAGGCTGAGGTGGCTCTGGGGGACAAAGGGGCCTTGGGCACAGGCTCTGCCCCAAGGAGCCAGGAGCTGCAGGAGGGGTGACTGTGAAAACAGCCTGGCTGTGCCTTGGGGGTTGATGGAAGGAGCGTGAACTGAGAGCCAGAGAGAGTGGGGCAGGCTCCTTGTGGGTCAGCCCCTCCCAGAATAGAGCAGGCCCCCAGTGCCATGGGGACAGTCACGGCAATGCCTCAGGCCTGGTGGCCCCCAGAGCCCAAAGGGTGAGTGCTGTTACCTGGAAGGTAGATGTCAGCAGGTGGGCCAGGTTGGCAGCAGCCACAGGGCTCGGGGTTGCCATCCTGTAGGACATTCTCAATGGAGGGTACACGGCTCCCTGCAGAGAAGGGAGAAGGTCAGGGACCCAACAAGCAGGGGTGGACCCGGCCAGCCCTCTGGCTGAAAGCCCCAGGAGCCCACCTTTCATCCCCAAGGGGCTGCAGCCGCTGGGGGCCTTGGCTCTGGCCTAGACGCAATCCCGACTCCCCCACTGCTCTTCCTCTCTTTCCTTCTCTTATACCCCCAGCATGGGGCTTTTGTTTTACTTTAACCATAAAAAAATTACACGCCCAAGTTTAAAAAAGATAAAACGGTAACAGATATAACTGTCTTCTGTTTATCTTTCTGGATGAGCAGGCAGGGTGCCAGTCCTTGGTCCATACACACCAACCTGTCCTTCTGCCCCCTGGCATGGGTCCAGAGAGGGGTCCACCCAGTGTGGCCGTCCCTCTCACATATCAGCTCTCAGCCTCAGACCTGCATTGTTCTGTGCTGACAAGGGTGTCCTCGTGCGGGAGGTCTCTGCTGCAGAAAGGAGCCTGGACCCTGTGACAGGGCACAGCAGAGGACTGCCCAGTGCCGCACACGCAGTGCACAGGCAGGAAAATGCTAACCCTGGGGAGGTGGGGAGCCAAGGCCTGAGAGGCAGAAAGACTTGTCCTACACCATACCAGGCAGGAAGGGATGGCACAGCTCCCTGGAACAGACACCCCTAAACCTGGCACCCACACTCACACCCAAACCCAAGGGCCTAGTCCCGAAACCTGCAGACAGGCTCCACCCATGTGTGTGTGTGAGGGGCTGCTCCTGAAAGGGATGTGGGTCCCCATAGTGCAAAGCTGGCCAGGGGAAGAAGCTGGCGCGGGCAAGAAGGGGTCACAGCAATGGAGCATTGGCAGGTTATTTTGGGGTCCTTTACCAGACTGCAGGCTTGGAAGACAGCCAGCAAGGGCCACTCCTGGCTCTGTCACCTCTAAATTAAGTGGCCTTGGCCTCTCTCAACACAAGCCCTGAGCCTGTTTCCTCATCTGTCCATACTGGGGAGAAATGACCAGGACAGTAGAGAGATGGCATCTCCCCAGCCGCCAGAGGGAAGCACCCTATTATGTCCCACAACCTCTGTGAGGTCAGGCGGGGTCATCCCCTGACTCAGAGCCCAGTACATGTGATGGGCAGCTGGGTCCTGACGCCCGTAGGCTGCTACATGCTAAACCTTCCAGTCAAGAGAGGTGCAAGCCCCCTCACTCCACACAGGAGACCCGGACATAGCTGAGCCCTGTGCCTACACCCTGGCCTTCAACTGTGCCAGGGCCAAGGCCAACACAGAGGCCCTGGGTCTCTCCAGGTGCTGGCAGGACTACAACCCCAACGGATGGTCCCTGTACAAGAGGACACTGGTGAAGAGCTGACTGCGTGCAGAATGATCCAGGCGGGAAATAAAACAACCGCTACTACCCAATGCTGGATGGCAGGATGGAAAACCTCACAGTAACTGGTGCGTGTGGTTCCCAGGAGGGCACTGAAACTCGCTCTGAGAAACCCCTAGGGGAGCTGAGTTGGAGGCCTGCAGCCCTCCCACCAGGGAGTACCAAAACCCGGCCCTTAAGGAAAGAGAGGGCTTACCTTGCTTTAGTGATGACCTCTCATCAACCTCCTCTGTGAGGAAACTCTAGGAAACAAGGGAAAATGACCTTGGAGCTACGGTGCTGATGCAGGATTGTTGCCGACTGCCCAGGACCAGGCTGCAGGTGGCCAGGGGAGGGCGCAGGGCAAGCTGCAGTTCCCAGTCCTGGACAGATCTACTGGACGCTTTGTACACAGCCCCTTTGCCAGTGCCCACCCCACAGGTGAGATACTAAGGCTGAGGGAAGTCACAGCCCGGCCAAGACCACTGAGGGAGTGGCAGGGCAGGCCTGGCACACCATGAACCAGGTCTTGGAGGCAAATAGGAAAGCAGTGGGGACTCAGGTCTCAGGTGCGCGGGACTG